TCAAACATCGAAGATTAAATCATAAGTTCCTCGTCTAGACATATAGTTTTGTCCGTGTTTTCAGTGTATTTTGCGCTCTGGTAAAGTTCACTGTTTCGGATGCATTAAGTACATTTAAGCCGTAAAGCAACCTTAACCAGCAGCTCAGCGTTGTTGTATTCTGAATTTAAAAAAAAAAAGTAATATAGACATTTGATTATGATAATTATGATTAGAACTTTATTTTGGTCCAGAGAATGTTAGAGTGAATCTACTGTGTGACAGTGTAATAAAGATGAAATAACAATTTTCTTCACCGCAGGCAATACTGCCAAACGTTGTCGAATTGTTCTGCATGTACAATGATACTGGCAGCAGCGCTCTGTGGAATATTCATACAAGTCACTGAACTTGTTTAGGACATCGCGAAAACGAAAAAGAAAGGGAAGGCCCGGTTATCGGAGTTCACAATCGTGTAGCAATAAAAAACTGCACCAAGTCACAGAATGCCTTGAAATTGCGAAATCGGACGATTCTGGAGTGCAATCTCAGTTGCCTATATGTCTTTGCTAGGCTTTATAATAGCTACGAGATGCTACGTCGTTGGCTGTTCTATGCTCAGAGTATAGACAGGTTCGAGTTGAACCATAGCCTGCCACAGATGCTGAAACGAATATTCAGACTCCAGACACGAAAACTCGCGCTGAAATCAAGCGTTTGCATTTCTAAGATCAACTGGCACATCGTCGCTGGAGTAGGTAATATTCTCAGCCACTGTTGCCTTTTCGTTCCCTGTAGTATTCCCTCGTTATAGCAACTCGTGGTCTTCGGCCCATCGCCGTCGTTCTGCAGCCATTCATTGCGTTAACTGTTGCTCCTTCGTTTTCTGGAGACCCGTGGAGAGCACGTGAGCTCAGCCCTATTTCTGATTAACATACTCGCAATGATGGCCGTTTCTAAGAGTTAAACGCTGCCTTTGTCATTTCTAGTGGAGCCTTCGTCAGTAGTGGGACTTACCACGTTTGTCCGACAGGAAAGTGTTTTTGATGGCGATAATATCACACCAGGGTCGACGTTATACGATGGCTCGTGTAATCAATCTCTCTGTTGAGCAATATATAACTTGTGCGAAAGGCGTATGAACGGGAATTTCTCACGATAACAATTTGCAATCACTGTGCATCGCTCAACCTTCGTGGTGCAAGCGGCTACGGTTTTCTGTTGTGAAATTGTGCCGAGTGATATTACGTCCGCTGGGCTCGCACTCTATAGTTTAATATTGCATTATATCTAGAATTGACCCACCACACTCACCTAGACAACAAGGAAAAAAAATGAACGATGGTTTGAGCATAAAATAATGCCTTCTAAGGTGCACAGCCATTGTCCTCAATAATCTAGATATCCTGTTTTTTTCCAATCAAAAGAGGCGATCATTAGCAGTTCCACCGATATAGTAAAAACTGATGTGTCATATCGAGTTGTTTCACAAGACGATTCATTATGAAAGCCCTGTCTTGGGTGAAAGATTTTAGGTTTCTAGAAGAAGCAAGCCTAAGCGGTACGGCGCTGTTAGCCAAGCCACGAGGTTTCGGCTGCAAGGCCTTCTTTTTAATCTCGCTTCCTGAGTTACGAAATTGGGGTGTTCAATTGGGAGAACGGTCCACTCACACACACAGAAAAGGCAGTTCGGTTATTTGTCTGAACTGTTTTATGTATTTGAGACGATGACGCAACGTAAGGAAAAGAAACAAGTGAACTAAGAGGCCATTGTACACAGGAGCTTTCTATTTGGCGCTGATTTATACCGCGCGGTTTATGACAGCGCAATAGCCGTCCAAGCGCACTACATTCTAGACGATGTCGCCAGTGTAGAGTCACTTTCTTTTACAACGTGACTTAGCTGGGCCTGCAACGTTTTGTGTACGCACTACGGGATTAATGCATCTCGGGCCAGTGGGCTTCACGTCGGGCTTGTGACAAAGCGGCCGGAGCCAACTTGCCGGGGGATTCGTCACCATAGCAACGACGTTGCATGGCTCGCTATGGGCCAGTTATAAGGCAGGGCCACCGGTGCGAGACGGTGCCCTGAGCGGTAAGGCCGCAGATCTCGCAGTAGTCGGGTGCCGTACCAGAGCTGCTTTACGAGTCACAAATCACTGCCGGCTTAAATGGGTGCCAAGAGGGACGGCTTCTGAGGAAGCGAATCGCCGGCCATGACTGGGCTTTACCTGATGCCCCTAGTGTGTCTCCGGAAACAGGCTATATCTCTCGCATGTATTCTTTGGTGTGATATATATATATATATATATATATATATATATATATATATATATATATATATATATATATATATATATATATATATATATATATATATATATATATATATATATATGGGATCGTTCAGTGAACAGCCTTTTTGTTTTTACTTTTCCCGCATCGTGACCTTTCACTTTCCCGAACACATGCGCACACGTGGACCATTGTGCCGAGCTCTCTGACCGCATTGCGTGGCTAGGGGACTTAGTTCACAGTTATCTGGGGAAGAAGAGACGACGTCTAAAGCCGAACTGGTGGACAAAGAGCTTTAGGAAAGACGGCGGTGGCCGTAAAGAAATTTTTATGGCCAATCTACTCGGCTGGTTCGGGGTGTTTGCTGGAAGAGCCAGCAGACAAAAAACAAAAAAAACAGCATCGCTATGGCACGGCGAATGGCCTGTGCATATACGAAAAAATGCCTTTCACGCGCTTCGCATTAATCCGACGTTTGCTTTCTTGATATCGCAGAACGTCGCATTGGGAAACAAGGGCGATAGGAAGGTCCGTTCCAGAGAGCTATAGGTATATAAGGTTTCGCTATACGACCTCCCCGTTAACAAGGACCTGAAATCTTTAAGATAGAATGAATCTTCTAGAAAGGATCTTGTAGATGAATGAATATTGCATGCTACAATTCGTTACCAGGCCCGTCAGTCCGTGCGTAGGCAAAAAAAGAAAGAGTAGCGTGAGGTCGTCTTTGTTTAGAACTCTGAGCGCTACCAGCAATCTTAATGGCGATGTGTTACTGAATAGAATACAGAAATTGCGTACTTTTGTTCTTTGTATGTTTTTTTCGCATTCAAGCTCACGTACGATGAGGGAAGCTCTCTCTCAAAGCACGTCTGATTTAGACCTAATAAAGAGCGTAGGTAAGATGTAAGCAACTTTGAGAACTATCAGAAAAAGAAACAAAAACGAGTTTTAAAATCAGGAACTGTGGTCGACATTCGTAGAATACAGTGAGTGCCGCAGCTGTTAACCGAGTGTCTCTTGAAGCACAAAGTGGAGCAAATGTGGAGGCGCCAGTACCGGAATGCTTAAAACGAATACTATGGATGTGTTACGTATGCATTGCAATGATTCCAGATGCTACAGTACAATTTATAAGGATATATAAGATATAAGGATTATAAGGATATAGGGATATAAGGATACATAAGGAATATAAGGATATATATATTTATGGTCATATAAACTGTATATAAACTCATTGTAGATTTTGTAGACAAAGTCGTGAGAAGAGTATGTTCGCGACAAATCGGAAGTTAGTGAGCCTCGAATAAAAGTAATCTTGAGAGTTCCTTCTATCCTGGAATTTTCCGAAACGCGGTCATATTTCAAAACATTTATTAACATTTTGGAAACACGCTGCTATTGTGCACTCACTACAAAAAAAAAACAATTCTTTGGTGCACTTCGGCCTCCTAATCATATAATGACTGCCTCGCAATAATATATCTGAGTCACTGACACTAAAGCGCTGCCGTTTTTGACTGCAGAGAAGGGAAAAGGTATTAGCACGCATGGCTTGTCAAGCCGATGATACAAGAGAAATAAGGGCAAAAATAATAATCTTATACGGACGTCACTAATGTGGCTCAGAGTTCTTTTGCTTCATATAACTGAGCAGTAATAGGATTATTCCAGCAGCTCGCTGTTGCAGATGCAGAGAAGTAATGCCGAGGGGACAGTAGGTGTACGACATGGCTCACTATTTTATCTTTTTTGCTGCGCGTACAGGCGAATTCAGTTTCTAAGATCAGGAAAGACAGAAAAAAATAAAGAGCGTAAAAAACGAGAAATGACAAAAAGGTAAAGAGAAAAACCAACAAAAAGAAAAACAGAAAAAAAAAGAAATATGGAAAAAGGTGGAAAGAAGCACGAAAAATAATATAAACACCGCACCTGGGCGCAACGCGCAGCATAGTCACAGCGAGAGCTGTATAGGAGCGGCCTTTCAGAGCCTTTTTTAAACGCTCGTTGGATAACTGTTCCAGCATACAGGCATGCTTGTAAATCATAATAAGTTCTGTATAGTAGGGAGGCTTTTATTATACCATCCTTCGTCATTCTTCGCAGAAGTGTTGTACCTGCTACTCAGTAAGAATGTTTGTGCAACTTTTTTACGATGTCACTGACGACCATGAAGAAATATGCCTGACGTTTTTGTAATAGGTTGGAGCATTTGGCACGCTTGTTACGCAATTCCCATCGTGCGATGCACTTGTTGTTCTGAACTATGTTACTTATATCAACGTGATTTATTTACCAATCTCAAACATGTTTAAAGCCAGTTAGACACGGGGTTTTAAGCACTGACATAGCTTTGTAGTACGTCTTCCCTGGTACGAATACCCGGGTGCGACTTGCGTTGTGGCTCTGGTGTTTTTGTTCACTTTTTTTCGTGAGAGAGTGGTTATGGACCCCCGCTGTGGCGGTGAACAATAACGGCGCACGTGACCCTTGTGAGCTCATAACAGCTTTCGCTGTAAAAGAAAGAAAGAAGACTCGCTCTCTGGATTTAGTGCCGACCGGTTGTTCCCCCGCGTATCTCCGACGACAGCTCAGCTCTGGCCGACTGGGCTCGCCCTACGCCATCTCCTGACGCCGACAAGAGCTACCAAGTCTAGAGGACAGGCTCTCAGAGCTTCGCAACAACGCATGCAGGTACACAACGTAATTCCTGATATGTCTCTCACCGCATCCTAGCTCGTCGCTGCCGTTCCCACAGTCGTCGTCCGAGTCGCAGTGCCATCGCGCTGGTATGCAGCTGCAGTTGCTCCCTTCTTCTGCGAAGCTGGTGCAGGCGAACTGGCCCGGACCGCAGTCGCACATGGTGAGACCTGCGTTCAATAGAGCACACGATGCAAATGTAATGGCGCACTTTTCTCTAACGTGGATTGACAACAGCGGACATAGCTGCTGATGTCGCAGCGGAATACTGTGCGGCTCGGGGTACAGTAAGAATGGTATGAAAACATACCAAGTAGGGAAAACCTTTTAGGCAAGAACGAATGTGTGAACAGTATATGGAACATGTATACGATTAGCCTAGTACTTGGATCATCGCCACATCCCGGTAAACAAAGGCACGCAGTGAGCGCCCTTCGTGATTTTGTTACAGTGAAAGCTGTTATGAGATCAGAACAAAGGTCACGCGCGGCGCCGTAGTTGTCCAACGCTGCCGCCGGTGTCTGTAACCAGTATCGAAAGAAAAAAAAACAAACAAACCAACTAACTCAATTAAGCACACACAGTGTGAATTGAACCCAAATCAGCTGTGTGCAACTCAGTATTCCAGCACTAAGCCAAGCCGGTGCTCTGGTTTTAGTTCGCAAAGTTGCCTCAGGCACGCTTGATGTCGGAAGAGGAATCGCGTTATTATCAGTAATAAAGCGTTTTACAACAGCTAAAAACAACAACCAAGTGTCACACAATGCGAATAGCGTAACGAGTGCATCGTCCAATGCTCCAACCAATTACGAAAGCTTGTTCTTGATCACCCATTAACTGTGGCACATACCGACTTCGGGCATAATTCCTCATCGTCGTCAGCCACTGCACGAACAATTGGCACACAATGTAGTGCAAATGTTTAGCGGATACCAGGCTTTTCAGAAGAATGATGAAAGATAGCATAGCGAATGCCGAAAATTATGATTATTAATGCTGTAGTGGTACCCAGCAAGTGTGCTTGCAGCAGTTACCCAATGAGTGTTAAGAAAAAGCTCTGAAAGGCCGCTCTTTTAGCTTTCGCTGTGACTTTGCAGCGCCGTCCGCGCAGGCCTCGCTCTTTTTATTGGACGCAAATTTAATAAACTGTCTGTAAATCCTTGTGCTCCTTGCCATTATCGCTACGGGCTCTATCCACGATGTGATCTATCCACGATGTGAGCTACGGGCTCTATCCTGACTGTGCCTATAGACTATGCTCGTTTGTTACCAGCCCTTTCTTGTATATATGCACATAATGCCCCCGATTCTTTTTTTTCTTAATTTATCGCATCTGTGGGCTCATCTTGTACATTGATGTCATGAAGGTGAGACAGCCGGCTTCAGCGTAGCACACCTTACCATATTTTGCCAAATATAAATAGAAAAATAAGTATATAAGAAACATGGCTGCACGATTACATTTCTATTATTCTATCGAAAAATTTGAAGCCTTTGTGGGTATTTTGATTAGTCTAACCACCAAAAATTGCTTAAAACCTACCATTAAGAGAGTGAGAGAAACAGAAGAGCCCCGCCGCGGGGGTTTAGTGGCTTAGGTACTCAGCGGCTGACCCGCAGGTTGCGCAATCGACTCCCGGCTGCGGCGGCTGCATTTTAGATGGAGGCGAGAATGCTGTAGACCCGTGTGTTTACATTTGAGCGCGCGTTAAAGACCGCAGGTGGTCAGACTTTCTGTAGCCCTCTACTAGGGGGTGTCTCATAATCATACGGTGGTTTTAAGACGTTAAACTCCACATATCAATCAGAGAAATAGAAGAGCAAAAGAAAGGCAGGAAAGTTAACCAGGTTACACCCAGATTGCTTCCTCACAAGGAGGAAGGAAAAAAGGGGAAGAAATAAAAAGGAAGAAGATAAGATAGGGAAAGTAATACGCTTGCACGCATAGCAGCGTGTGCCGCGCATGTCCTGAAGGTTATGAAACTGCTAACTACCACGGAGCAGGCGTTGATTTTGATTTGATATGGGGGGGGGGGGGGGGGGTTCAACGTCCCAAGACCACCATATGATTATATGATTATGAGAGACGCCGTAATGGAGGGCTTCGGAAATTTCGACCACTTGCGGTTATTCAACATGCACCCAAATCTGAGCACACAGACTTGCAGCATTTTCGCCTCTATCAAAAATTCAGGCGTTGATTTCGACTGTCCCATGTAAATTATTAACTATGTTTGAGGCTATAGCCTCGCCTAATGTATACTGCCTACTTTTTCATGTATTTAAAATTAACAAGAGACGAAAACTTCACCTTTCAACGGGTAACGGCTGCATCATTCATAACGTTATACAGTGACTTATGGCTGTTTCAAATAAATTGTCTAGGGCAATGCGGTATTCTTGTAAAAGTGTTTCGCAGATGTTGCAACACTAATTAAAACTTCCGGGGGATTCTCTTCTTCTTTTCGGTTCAGGCGAGTGTCTTGAAAAATTAACCCAAGATACCAGAAAAAAGGGAAATCCTAGTGTCTGAGATCGAACCGTTCTTTGAATTTCCACTATTCTGCGCCCAAATATCCGCTGCCTCACTGTCTTTAAAAGCCAAATGCGTCGCCTATTTGCTGGATACATTAAGAGAATGCGCACGGCACGGAGAAGATTCCCACACCTTTGAAGCCGGCGATTTGAAGTGGTGCTATGCATGAGTAATGCATACACCATGCCGTCTAAGGCCCACGATGCGCGAGGACGCCTGCACTCGGAACGTCTGCATTTCGAGTGTGCCCGCACCGAAAGAAGAATGCACGCCCCCGTTCCCAAACGCGCATTCTATACAAGAGTCCTCACGACGTGCCCCGAATACCTGAGCTCAAAAAGACAGCTCAAATATGCGTGTCTGCTGTGGCCGTTACATGTTGCCCTGCAAGGGAAGCACATTCGATGGAGCTCGTCCGGCGGGTGTTAGATATGATGCAAGACACAAGCGCCGCACACGTTCGCACCTTTTTTTGTGTGACCTGCGTAGGCTCGCGCATAATTTCGGCCGGTATTTTTTCGGCACTGAACGGTCTTGCCTAGTGAAACATGCCCTGTAAAAAAAAAAAAAACGAATGTGTTACTGTTTGTGGAGAGTCTTGGCTTGCTATGGTATGACAGATTATGACGATGGCAAAAAAAGAAAAAAAAACACGGGTATGTCATTTTAATTTGAGTCACACAAGGCGCAAGTCAGTGCTCACAAAAATAAGAGGGCTTTTTATGAGTGTATTTGATCTCCTACGTGTTGCGTCTTTCCTCTATATTGACACGACAGAAAGAGATGAGAGCGCATTACTTACGCGCCAGCTGCTATTCAGCTCTTAAGAATGTCGAAAATGAAGAATTCAGGGTCAAACATATTTTCAGCACCTGAAGTATACAACGTAGACGCCATAAAATCACCATAATTGTCTCGCCATAGAAACACCACAAAAACTGAAAAACTTTAAAGAGTAACATTCTGCTATGAAGTTAAACAGGAGAGAGGATGAAACAAGCGGAAGGACTGGGAGGTTAGCAAGTTCTTATACCGGCTGGCTACCATGAGCTGGAGAAGGAGTAAGGGTATTGGAAGTTCATAGAAAAGAGATGCTACAAAGACAGAGACAGAGCAAAAAAGCCAACTAAAAATAGAAAAAGGCATTAAATAGAATACTGCACTGAACGTCTGTCGGTAAGACCAGTTGCTCGCGAAGAAAAGTAATAGCGCTTTGAAAGCCTTCTGACCTGAGGATGGACTCGAAAAATCACCCATAATCCGTTGTTCCAACAAAGGGCGGTTTCCAGTCTATCTATAGCTTTGGTAAGTTCTTGTCTTGGCGCGTTGAATCTTGGAAAATATACGTCAGCAGGACACGTTGCATGTAAACAGGATAACAATAATTGTCATTAAAAGTAACTGACTAGATTTCAAATGTATAAAAACACCCGAAGAACAGACAGAAAATTCATTACATGGCCAGATGAGATTAAGCTTGCGTGTACAAGGCATAGCAAGCACTGGACGGAGTGGATTGGCGAAATATGGGACAGGCCTTGGTCCTGCAGTCGTCGTAGTCGGGCTGATGGCGATGGCGTTGGTGTCGTTTAGAATTCATACATCATGTGCATACATTATCACGTAAATACGCAACATAAAAATTAAAGTAACATAGTCATTGTTGCGTTTGTGGGCTTGGGAAAAAGTGAGGTACTTCTAGGCTGCGGCTAGCACCGCTAAAACGTGTCAATGCTCAAAAATTTCGAAATTGCACAAAAGCAGCACCACAGAAAACAGACAAAAAAAACAAGTTTAAGGTGGAACGACATGTCGTGCTTTGCGTCAACATGTTTCTTTTTTTTTAAAAAAAGTGCTTTGCGAAATTTTTGTCGCTTTTGTGCGCTCATCGTAATTTTTATATTTCAGGTTTTTGTTGGAGAGCGCATCCACAGCGTTGAGCGAAACCTCGCAAAAAGAGGATGCTAAAAATAAATTCTTCCCTGGCCTCGATCGAAGAATGAAGGAAAGAGAAACGGCTTCGGTGCGCCGCTTTCGATCAATCAAACGCACGGAAGCCATTTGACATTTGCGAAATGGTAGAACCATATTAATATTTCACTTTTTTCTGGCACTGCTGTGATTTCCTGACACACGTTTGCACCACTAGCACAGTCATGAGGTCTTTTTTAGCCACGTGCGCAGGGCATCTTATGACGTCACAGTTTCTACGGCATTCTCTACTGTACTTTTCGTGTCTTGGAATTCAAAGGTAACGCATACGTATATTTTTTTAACGTGACGCAGTGCTGCATGCAGATATGCTTTTTCATTGTAGCTATTCTTGAAGAAGGGTTGAAAGCATTTATATGGCCACCTAGTTAGGCCATGAAAACAGCTGAACTTTTCTGGAAAGATGGCGGACAACGCGTCATCGACAGTGGTTAAACAAAACCTCTCAAATGGGAGTTCTATATATTCAGTGGCGAAAAAACCTGCCGGCATTGCTTTAGAGTTGCCTTGAATTGCGGGTGATGAGTGTCACTTGAGTATAGTCCATATACAGCAGATTGTACAAAACGGTCGGTTTACGGGGAATAACTGTCAAAGTGAATCGCCCTGCGAAAAATGCCGTAGTAGAGGGCGC